ATTCTTTAAACATTCTAGGATTCTGAAAGACCTGCAGGAGAATATATTATTGAAGGATGAGCCACCAGTGTGATATGCTTATGAAGAAAATGGTGGCACTAGCCAGTTCCCCGTTTCCCATGTAAGGTTAAAGTACTAGCACCAGTTTCTAAATCCTTCATGAGATCTCAGTATGTTGTATGCTTCTGATCACTTGTTTTCAAGAACAATGAAGCAGATGAGGACTGCTAGTAAGATCACAAAAATGGAAGCAAATGTCTTCAAGAGATTGCATTGCACAGTTGTAGTGGGTTGACCCAGGTTGGCAGCCAAGCTGCCACCCAGTTGCTTGCTCAGTACCTGCCCCAGTCAGACAGGAGAGAGAACTGAAAGGGTAAAAGTGATGAAAAATGCGGGGACTGAGATAAAGACAGTTTAATAAGTAAAGAAAAAAAGGAAAAAACTCATCACATAATGCAAAAGCAATCACTCCCTACCTCCCACCAGCAGACTGATGCCCAACCAGTCTTTGAGCAATGGTTACCTTTGATAAACTCACCCTCCCTGTTAAACCTGAGTATGATGTTATATGCTACTGAATATACCTTTGCTTGGTTTGGGTAAGCCATCCTGGGCACGTCACCTCTCAACCTTCTGTGCACTCAGCCTATGCACTAGGGGTGGCAGGGGGAGAGCAGAGAGAGGAAAAAGAGACGGCTTTGCAAGCAGTGTTCAGCAACAGCTAAAACGCTGGTGAATTATCACCACTGTTTTGGTCACAAATCTAAAATATAGCACCAGACCAGCTACTATGAAGAAAATTAACTCCGTTCTAGCCAGACCTAGCACAATAGTCTAGAAAAATATTGACTGAGAAAAGACTGCTACCTACTTACTTATCAAAGGGGAATCCCAATGAAGGAAATAGCTGTTTTAGACTGAAGAACAGTACTGAAAGCATATGCCCACATAAACAAGAGGTGGTTGACGACTTGTAGGTTCAAGATCTAAATTCTTTAAGAATAAAAATAAGCAACAAAAAATAGTGGGCCTTTGTAGATAAAAGCAACTTGCATAGGAACTGAACTTTCATAGTTATAAATATCACATCTCAGGGATTCACTGCGAAATTTATAAGCAATCTTAATAAATTTAGGTATATAGTATCTAGGCAAAGACATGTAATTTTAGCTTTCAGTACTTTCCTTAACATGTAATAAAATATTGTAAAGAGTTATGAATATTTTCTTTTGACTAACTTAGATTATAGTTCATGTGACAGCCTAAACAGCAAAATCAGCAAATGTTTCTGCCTTGTTAAAGAAAAGTTTTATCATTTATTTATACATTTTCTTCCTTAAAAAGAAAACAGTAGCTCTGTGACTTAGATTTGACTTAGTGGTAACTGCACTTAAAGTGCTTCATTTTTAACTTCATCATAAGAAAACAACATTCCTTTTCCAAACAGATTATTGTGCATACCATAACTCAAAATTGCATTGTGGATTAACATATATTCACTTACAGAGGCTTTAACGCTTAACCTAGAGTTGCAGGTTATCAGGACACAAGCTACAGATAAAAATAAGTTAAGTAGTTAAATATGAGCTGCTCCCTTATCCAAAGTTTAAGCTTCCATAAAACAAGGATAAGCATCAGAGATGTAATAAAGACAGAGAGGATTTGGTTAATGATTAAACAGAGTAAGAAATTAAAAACTGACACTAGCAAAAGGAATTTTTTTATATTACAACACTGTGTGTTCAAGACAGGAGAATAATTTGTCAAAGCATCTAAGTGAGCTAACATGACTTATGTTGTTGAATAATAGTTTGAATGAAATAATTAAGAAAGTCAAGTAGAAAATGGCCCTGAATTGTTAAAAGGAATGTGTTAGGTGACCTACTGGACATTAAGAACCTTTCTCTATAAACAGATGCCCTTTCAAGTATGCATGTAGTATATTTTTTATATATTTTACAATCAGTACCTGTTCTCTATTACTTCTAAAACCTGAGTGTTTATTTCAAATTACCAATGATAATTTCATTACAATAGTTACCTACCATATTTAAGAAAACCAGAGATCAAGACAACTACATTAATCATGAAGAACACAGTGTTCCATTGTCATCACAGTGAACAATTATTAAAAAAGGAAACAAATGACAAACTAATGATAACTCTGGCACATTATTCATTAGGTACTGTAGTGTATTATTTTCCTTACCTTGAACACTTTGTTCTACAGCATAAATTTGACAATGCATTTGGACTCAAATCAGCTTTTTAGGACCTCATAATACTAACTATGAAACACAAAGCTGGTAAATGCTTATGGACCCAACATAAGTCTTTCACATTTTCATTTGTAGCCACCTCATCTCATTTGATAAAAACTGGCTTGTAAAATTATCAAGATATTTACCTATTGTAAAATGTTTCTAATGCATTTTAAATAGTTTTATTAAAACATGCTTTTGATGAACATGGGATAAAAACATGTTTTCTTCAGATGTAGCCAACAAATCAGATTTTAATTTTCCTTGAATGTACTTTGAGCTTTCCCATAGGGCTACTTTTGAACTTCAATTAAATGACAAAAAAAGCCAAAAAACCAAAATGGGATACTTTTTAGGGATTGTCAAATCAAATCAAAACATGCACATTAAAAACAAAACAAACCATTACAAAACCAAAACCAAAACCCTGACAAATTTCAGATCAACAGTATTAAATGTGGAAAGTTTACAGTCTTCCTGTCATACTATAACAAAATCATTTAGCTCTTTTCACTGTACTTAAGCAGTTAGTATTTATTTCCCATTACATTCTTGTATGTTTGAAAACTATTTACTGTATTTATTTATACTTAATACTTTGGTTTTAATACTTATATTTTAGATATCCATTTGTTGTGGAAACAGTGACAGGTTGAGCCTTTTTTTAGACATTGGGTAACAATAAGACTGCATGTTCCATACTGAAATAGTTCAGAAGATGGATGAGATATTACTTGTTCTGGCCTTATTTGAATTGATATTATCTATTTATCATTCATTCATATGCATATTTATCAGGTTTTGGGGACACACAGGTGATACAAGGGTCTGGCACTGCCTTCCATTTTTGAGTGTAGAAATTTATGTAGTGTTTAGGTTACTATGCTATTTCATCTATGTCTTTGGGATTTGGAAACAAAATAATTGCAATGTATTGAAAAAATTTTCTATTTATGAGAGTAACAAATATTTGTTACAAATACTCTTCAGAAGTCCTCTGTGACAGATATAAGTATTACCCACCTAGCTTTACCAGTAGGTGCTTGAGTAATAATTGTGTGGCTTTCAGCAAGTTAACTGCAAACCTCACAATGTATAGATTAACCTCTCATTTTTATATTCTCACCCCTGCACAGTGCTAGCTCTTGTTTTATTTTGCTCTCTGGTCCATATTTAAATATTCACTTGCAAGCTAGTATGTAAATAAACCATTGCTAAAGAAACAGTTATTAGGAAAGTATTGCACATATGATAAGAACTAAAACCTTGGACCAAAAGCACAGTTGCAGATAATTAACCTAGCTCTGTGAAGGAACTGTACCAGCTTAAATCAAAGGGCTTGTGACTTTGGAACAAAGGTTCCCAGGTGTCAAGGTTTAGGGCTGGGCTGGCCACTGAATGATGGACAGATGCTCTCTATTAATTCCTCTCCCCTCCTGGAGAGGGGAACAGAAAGAATATAAGGGAGAGAGACTTATGGGATGAAAAAGAAAACTAACAGGTTTAATGAAACAATAACAATAATACGAAAGGATAATAATGTAAATAGGAAAATAATGAAACATATACAAATATATTTACAAAACCAATATAAAATCCTTCAATGGCTGTTACATCACCAGAGGATCTCTGGAGCAGGGTAGGACCAGACTCAGCAACATGCAGGAGCTGGATTCAGGAATGTATGGATTTGGATTGAAAGCAGATTAACTAGCAGAGTTCTGCTCAGACATCAGCTATGGCAGAAGAAGCAAAGAGGAGGACAAAGAGAGCTTAACCCTCATGATTCCTCAGCTTTATACTGGGTATGACATACATGGGATGGAATACCTTGTTGGTCAGTTTTTGGGTCATCTGTCTGCTCCTGCCTGCAGGTGCAACACCCCAGTAAGGCACCCATGATGTGACAGTGGCCTCGGTCTCCATAGGCACAAGTATAAGCAAGAGCTCTATTTACATACCATACCTAATAGTGACTATAAACATGAAACACTATCACGCATAGAAGTGGACACTGTCTGGAAAAACATGCCATTAGTTCCAGACGGTACAGTCACTTCGAAAAGACTTAACTGAAAAAAAAGTAAAATAACTAGAGAATTAGTTCTATTTAGTTCAAATCAGGACACCAGGCTGCGCACAGTGAAACTTGTGCCAGAGGTCAAAGCACAGCTCACACTTAATTTCCAATTGTCAGACTCCACTGACAGAATTCTTAAATGCATCACTTCCCAGTATTAGATGTACATGCACTATGTAAAGAAGTATAAATATATACTACATTTGAACATTATATTTAAGATCTTTACGCATAACTATAGCATTTGATGAATTCAATGAAAAGTTTCATATATATGCAACCACAATATTGTAGGTAATTCATAGAATTTGGGTGGCAAAAGGTAGCCAGGGAAAAGATCTCCAGGATGGAAAACAAAACAAAAGTTCTCTAATATTGTCCTAGCATTAAATTGCAGTCTGCAGTGTGAAGAGATAAATAAATAAGGAGCCCAAGATGAGTTCAGATTTTTGTAATGCGTCTTCAGTATCTGATTTTCTACCGTTTTGTAAAATGGTTATATATTTCTGCAAGCTACAAATCAGTTGGTCTTTTAATCTACACATAACATGTAGTCGTGTCTTGATTGGATGTCTTGTCAAATTGGTTAAAGTCAGTACTAAAGCAAAATTCTGTGAAATCAGATTGTGACAAGCTATCGTCTTGGTTGTATCTTTCAGAAAACACACTTGAAAAGTATTTGTCTGCAGTATCAGCTGTATCTTCTTCTGAACAGCCATTTCTTTTGCCTTTTAAGGAATGAGAAGGGACTATTCACCATCTTCCTATGGTAACTACAAAGTCATGTTAATTAGATAGTAAACACAATTTATATTTACTATTACAACTGTTATTTGTCTCCAGTTGCATTATTGAGTGGATCCTCTCCTGCTATGATAAGCAGTCCCTCCTTGCTTCATAGGCCTCAGTCCCTTACTTAATTCTGTCTTTCTCTGACTAGGCTCAGTCTGGTCAAGAATGCATCTTGGCCCTAATCTTCATGATAACCTTCAAGTTGTTGGTATTGTTACATTTAAAGACCTCAGTCAATTGCTATATGTCTTTGCAATGAAAAAACCACCACATGTTTACGTATGCTGAATATGTATATGAGACCCCTTCCATTCTCACTCCAACTTCCTGCCTTAGACAACTGGCCCTGCTTCTAGGGCCTACATGCTTACTCGTTCTCCTCTTGTGCACCTTCAGTCAAATATCTTTGCTAAGTTCTGACATTTCTTCTCTCTCTCTGCCACTACAAAAACATGTAACTGTCCTCTGTCCTTCTTATTATAAACTCCCCTATTTTTCCTTTCCTAAAAATGTTGTAATTTTTGAGCCTTTGGTTACTGCTTAAATGTTTAACAGTGCTTGTTAAAACAAACTTCCCAAAACAATTGATCTGT